ATTTAACCTAATTTGTTTCATCGTTTATGGAAAAAATATAAGGGTGTAGTTTCTGCACAATAGTTTTGGAACTTAAATTTGCGTTGAATTGTTGTTGTTTGAATAAAATATTAACCTCTATTTCTCAAAATAAATTATTCATAAAATCTATCTTTTAATGATGGGTAATATGTGATTATTACTCTATTTTTATAATTTATCTCATGTAATGTTATGATATTTATCTTGAAATCAGTACACTAACGACATTAAACATTCATCTGACGTTTAGTAACATTATACAATTTGATAAAACTACGTCTTATCAGAAGCTCTACTTTATTAACAATTTTAAAATCTATTTTCGACACCTTACTAAAGTTTCCATACTATAACATGCATTTGGCCCCGTCTTAGTTTCACTTTTTGTGTTCAGGTGCCGTATTATCAGCGTTGGTAGATTGGTGTAGTATCTTGAGACATGGTTTTCATAGCATGTACATAATATGTATATAGAAACACTCCGCTACTCTATATAAATAACGTTTTCACAATTAAATTGTGGTGAAAAATGAAAAACTTTACTTAGCTCCGTAGTGACAATGATAAGTTATAGAGAAAGTACACCTAACGTACCGTGCAATTATGTTCATGATATTGAGCACCATGTTGTCAGTTTTTTTTTACTTAATGTTCATACTAACCCGAAAATAAAGCTTATTGATAGCCATAGGAACAATATAACAATGTATGTGGGCTATATTTTAGAAAATTAAAATCCTACAAAGCGTTTAATCGAATAAAAAAATACAACAAAGGCCTAAATTCTGCAATGATATACTTTCCTAATTACATAATTATATACCTTGCGATAGTCAAACTTCTTCATCACAGGATGAGTGGGGCATTGGCCAAAACCAGGTACCTGAGGAAAGACCCCTACAGGACCAAGAACGCAGAAGACAAAGATCAGGTTTTGTAACAACGATCTCATTGTGTTTCCAGTTGTAAATGATCAGAATCTGTCAGGTCTCATTTGCCAAGGGATATTCAATGAAATAAACTTTTCTCACACTAGCAGTCGAAGTACCTCACACTTATTGAAAGAACCACGTGATGCATTAGTAACTTTCTCGTGACACTTCTGTGACGTATAATTGTGCAATATACCTCCTTGTTATTCATCACGAGACAGAAAGTTAAGTAGTTGGCCTTGGAAACAAGCAAGTCTAATTGTCAAATAACGACCATATACAATTTACATATGGATGCACACTTTCTTATTTGTTTATGTGGCCCATTCTCCCGTGCTTCCTCTAGGGTTCGCCTTTATCTTTCTTAATTTTTATGTTAGGCAAATTCGGCTACATGTGTTTCTCTCACAGCAGAAGAATAGTGAAACATACTAACATACTGGCTTAATATTAAAAACCGGACAGTATTTTCCTTGAGGAAAGTTGTGTGTCTTGTAGAGACGAAGAAAAGAGTAATTACATGAACAATTATCGCTCACCTGTATATTATTAGGTTTGGTTTCTTATACCTGAAGATACTGAACTGAAATCCTATTAATACTAGAAATAAACTACCTTATAACACCAAAATGTAGTTTTTTATTTAATTAGATAATAAAGTCTCGTTTTACAGCTTCTTCAGGAGCATTCGCTAAAACACAAACCGAAACTGACAGTACAAACCTTCAAACTGTTTGTGTTTTAATGAACGCCTCTAAAGAAGCTGTAAAGCGAAACGTTGAGTGTCTAATTAGATAAAAAAAACTACATTTTGGTGATATAAGGTCGTTTATTTCTACTATTAATATGTCTTCTATACACCAATATCCACTACAGAAATTAATAAATGAAATTATTTGATGCTGCTGTTCATAATTGTTTACGAAAACAACAGAACCATGATTTTTAAATTGAACATTTCGAAACATTTGATGTAACTGCAGATTCCTTCTTCAAAGAATGTTAACTATAGTTCATGTTAAGTACTTGTTAATTTTATTTAGATCTGCTCAAATTATTACGTTTTTAATTAGACAAATTTAGTGTGAGACATTATTCTGATACGTTGATGGGGATGTTTGTCAATGAATCATGTTAAAAGTGACACATTGTTAATTTTCAACATGATTGAGTGACGAACAGCTCCATAATCATGTCTTTTCAATATACCAAAATCCTTGTAAATCAAGTCATTGACGCCATCCTTATCAATCCAGCTAACAGAAGAAAAAGTTTTTTGAAATATACCATTATTAACTGTGATGATGTCATATGATAAAGCCACCTGCACTTCTTAAATAATTTTAATAGACTCTTTTTAACAATGTCTGAAATTTTATACATCCACTGGTGTCCACTGCAGTCGTTATTGCCCTTTTACACTGCCCAGTAGAGGATGTGTTAAAGTTTGCTTACTTAAGCGCAAAACTGCACAATGGGCTACCTGCACTGTACCGACCACAGGGATTGATACCCAAATTTTAGCGTTATAAACCTCCAACTCATTGCTGAGCCACCGGCGAGTACTTCGTTAACGCCGAATATCTCTACTAAAAGACGGGCCGGGCCGTACTAAAAGTCGGTCACCTGCTGGAGCTCTCTACCAAAAGACGAGCCGTACTAAAAGTCGGTCACCTGCTGGAGCTCTTTATTAAAAGACTGATCGTACTAGAAGCCCGATCACTGGCCGGAGATCTTTACTAAAAAACGGGTCGTACTAGAAGCAGGAACATTGGCCGGATATCTTTACTAAGAGACGGATCGTACTAAAAGTCGGACACTTTCTGGATCTATCTACTAAAAGATGAAACCTTACTAAAAGCAGGGCATTGACAATGGAGTTCTCTACCAAAAGACGGATCGTACTAAAAGCAGGGCATTGGCAATGGAGTTCTCTACCAAAAGACGGATCGTACTAAAAGCAGGGCATTGACAATAGAGTTCTCTACTAAAAGACGGATCGTACTAAAAGGACGGATCGTACTAAAAGCAGGACATTGACAATAGAGTTCTCTACTAAAAGACGGATCGTACTAAAAGCAGGACATTGACAATAGAGTTCTCTACTAAAAGGTGGATCGTACTAAAAGCTGGAGTACCAACCAGAGATATCTACTAGAAGATCGATCGTACTAAAAATTTGGCATCGATCGGAGCTGTCTACAAATATACTTTTCAAAAGCAAAAATTCTTGGAAATCAATTTACATAATAAAAGACGGATCGTACTAGAAGCGAGAGCACCGGCCGAAGCACTGACATTAATTCACTGTTCTATACGGTCAGGGCTATATGGCAAACTAGTCATTGAACGCAGACTGTTGTTAGTTGAATTTCGCGCAAACCTATTCGAGATCTATATCTGCTTGCCGTCCCAGGTTCTGAAGTGATAGAATAGAGGAAAGGTAGTTAACACCACACACCGCCAACTCGTCGGGTATTTTAATTGACTAGTGGGATTTGATCATGATTTTAATAACGCACATACGTCCCAAAGTGCGGATGGTGATCTTCGTTTTCGGTGCTAAAGGGGCACGGAAACTTGAATCCACAGTATGGCAAACTAACCACCGCGCTCGGACACTTAATGGGGGAGATACATAATGACATTAACGGTAAACAATACATTTTATGTGTACAATAACTCGTCCATAACACTTTTACATTCTTTGTTTTGAGATATGATCATTAAAATCCAAAAAGACCTCCAATGTCTTACCATGTTGATTTCATTTCGAGCTCCGGCTTTTAGATGGTAATCCACAATAATATT